TAAATGCCATTGCTTTAAGTTCTTATGTCTACTGGTTGACTGTTAAGAGGAAGCTCAGTGGTGGGGGCTTATTAACTATAATTTTAGGAGTATAGGCTCACAGAGTATACTAGAACTTGAGAACAGCAGCTCCTCTCTGGGGACCTAACTGGTACTTATGAGCACTAGTTGGGGGAAGTATTTCCAAAGTGGGTGCTGTTTATAGCCTGGCTGACAAATCGCTTTATTTCATGTAAACCTGAGAGGGACCCTGTAAGCCTATACAGTAAACCTATAGGTATTTTCTTCTGTTTTATATATGATGCTTAGAGAGGTTCAGTGACTTGCTCAAGGTCATACAATAAGGTTTTCAGATCCTTAATTCTATGAATAAAATATTGTTCTTTGATAATATTAATAGCTGACATTTAAATAGTACTTTAAGGTCTGAAAAACATTTTATGTATATTATCTAATTTGAACCTTACAATGGATCCATGAAACAGGCATTTATAGGCATTATTATTCCCATTGTACAGTTAAAGAAACTGAAGATCAGAAAAATTAAGTGGTTTGCTTGTGGTCACACAGATATTAAGTATTGGAGGCAGATTTGAACCCAGGATTTCCTGGCATCAAGCTCAGGACTCTATTTACTATATAATACCATCTCTAAAAGACAGCTATTTTGAAATAAATAAATTTTAAAATAACAGCTATTTTGACTATTTTGAGGCCCCTTTTTACTTATTTCCTGGCTCAGCCATTTTTCAGACAGATAAGTGTGATATGGTTGAGTTTGGTATATGAGAGGTATTACTGAAAGTAGAGTATGTTATGGGTATACATTTTTACAAAAAAAATCCTAAAAGTAATCATCTTATTGAAATCAGTGCATGTCTTGGAAATGTGGATTGGTTTCCATGTGGGCTGTAGAATGCACTGGGTTTCTAGTGAGCATCTTCTGTACCCTAGGAAGAAGCCTCGAGGAACATTTTTCAGTGAGCAGTCAGAATGCAGGGTGGCCCGACTGAAGTGTGGGCGGTGAATCCCTTTGCCTCATGTTTCCATGAGCAGAACTGGCCCCAGGTGAGGAATGTGGAAGCCCAGCAGGCAGCTCCTCCTCCTTCAAAGATCCTCACCTACTCCAACTTTGACCAGACTCAGAAGGCATCATAAAACAAAATCTCCCCTTGATCATCAGGCTTGTTGTGGAGGAGAGTCTGCTGAAGACATAAAAATGAACATGCTCTGGGGTACTCTTCCTCCCACCCCCAATCACAGGAATCTAAGTATCTCAGTCTCAACTGGCAATATTCTTCCCTCTCTGCTAGGATTCCATCAGAACACCCTATGCTTCTGATAGCAAGTGCCCTCTCTCTCCTTATTTCTCCCAATTTTTCTTCTTTAATGGCCTTCTCTTCTAAGTGACTCAGCCTGTGAAAAAGCCTTATCCACAGCCACACGCAGACAACCTTGGGGATTTATGCCTTCAGTATAACCACTGGGCCTCTCTATAGCTGTACTATTTCTTACTCCTCTTATAAAGCAGAATCATGGGATCATAGATTTTTAGCTAGAAGGGACATCAGCTAGTCCATCCTTCCAATTCTATCCCTTTTCTCCTGGGGAAACTGAGGCCCCCAAATTAAGTGACATGCTCAAGATCACACAGATGGTAAGTAGCACAATTTGCATTACAGTATTTGAAATTTGAGAGTGTCCCCAGCGCTCAGCACAGTGCTGGACATATAGTAGGCACCTGGTAAATGTTTACTAATTGATTAATTGAACATGGGTGCACTGACACCAGTTCTGTCCTCTTTCTACTCTACCACTGGACTTCTCTAAACAGTAAATATTATTCTAAGTTTGCATTTTTTAAAACTGAATTTGCTATTTAAATAGCATCAGGAATGCCCGAGGAGGAAACTCCCTCTGCTAGTGTAGATTGGCACCTTCTCTGAAACTTGTAGTTTTAGACAGTTGCCTGGGGGCCACTGGGAAGTTAAATGACTTGTCCAGGGTCAATAGGTCAGTATGCATCAGGGGAGGGGGTGGAATCCAGGTCTTCCTGACTACAGAATTATGCCTTATTGTCTAAGTCTGTATTTGCAAACATTAAAACATGCAGGTCAAATTAAAACAACTCTGAGGTACCACATCACACCTGTCAGATTGGTTAACATGACAAAATAGGAAAATGGCAATTATTGGAGAAGATGTGGGAAAATTGGAACACTAACGCATTATTGGTGGAATTGAACTGATCCAACCATTCTGGACAGTAATTTGGAACTATGCCCAAAGGGCTTTAAAAATGAGCATATCCTTTTATCCAGCAATACCACTACTGGGTCTGTATCCCAAAGAGATCATGAAAAAGGAAAAAGGATCCACATTACAAAAATATTTATAGCAGCTCTTTTTGTGGTGGCAAAGAATTGGAAATTGAGTGTATGTCCATCAATTGGGGAATGGCTGAACAAGTCATGGTATGTGAATGTAATGGAATACTGTTGTTCCATAAGAAATGGTGAGCAGGCAGATTTCAGAAAAACCTGGGAGGACTTACATGAACTGATGCTGAGTGAAGTGAGTAGAACCAGGAGAATATTGTACACAGCACACTGAGCAATGACAAACTTTATTAGACTTGGCCTTTCTGAGCAATGCAATTATCTAAGACAATTCCAAAAGACGCATGATGGAAAATGCATCCATATCTGGAGAAAGAACTGTGGAGTCTGAATGCAGGTCAAAGCATACTGTTTTCTCTTTCTTTTGCTGTTTTTTTGTTTCACTTTCTCATAGTTTTTCCCTTTTGTTCTGATTCTTCTTTCACAACATGACTAATGTGGAAATATGTTTAATATGATCATACATGTATAGCCTATATCAGATTGCATGCCATCTTGAGGAGGGGAGATGGAGGGGGGGAAATTTAGAACTCAAAATCTTATAAAAGGGAATGTTGAAAACTAAAAATAAATAAATAGAATTTTAAAACCATGCAGGTGTATTTTATCTTACATAGTTGATATGTTCCACATTTAAAGAGGGGGAAACTGCTATTTAAAGGAATCCTATGGTGAAACCTTCTGTAAAGCAAGGCATCTTTCATATGGTGAATCATCATTTCCTTTGTGTCATTTTTATAAGTTCGCTTTTTGTGTATTAGGTTAACTTGAAACAAAAGCAAGCTTATATAAGATGATCCTCTCAAGGCTGCATATTTATCCTGAGCTAGGGAATAAAAAGACCCTGGCAGAATATGAAGAAAAGAATCATTATCTCCTCTCACTTCTGTAGAGAAGGATCATGGGCTCAGCAGAAGGTACCTCACAATACACTCTGCTGGACAAATCACTACATTTCTTTGCATTTCTTTGTACTTGGGAACACAGGCTCCATAGAGTGCTTGTTTTGATTGAATTTAATGAGCATTTATGATGTGCCTCCTATGTGTCAGGAACTTTACTAGGTACTGGGGGCACAAGGACTATGAATACAGCCCTGCCCTCAGGGAGCTTTCATTGTACTAGGGGAAAAAACAAACACACACGTACACCAATAAGCCAATACAAACTATATATGAAGTAAATGCAAAATAATTTGTGGGGCTAGAGTGGGGAATGATTACAACTGAATGATCAAAAAAGAATTTCTGTAAGACATTTCTAAAAGTGCTTGAGTTGAGCCTTGCAGGAAGCTAGGGATTCCCAAAGGTGAAAGTTCTACCTGGAGGATAGCTTGTGCAAGGGAACTGAGTCACAAAATAGGCATTTCGAGTATTAGGGATTAGACCAATCAGTCATTGCTCCTCTGACTCCCATAGGGGTCAGTCATTTTCAATCATTGCCCTATTTGTCACCATCAAAAGCCATTTATCGTGCCAGCTTGTCAGGAGCTTCTGCCAGCCAGTGTACAGGAAGGAGTTAAGCAGAGGATTTCATCTCCTAGAGCTTACCACTCCAGATGGACCCCATAGATCATCAACTAAATACAGACCACTGAAGGACATTAAATGTATGATAAAAATGAGCCTCCACTACATTTGTGACTTCTCAGTGGAGTCACTGTTCATCTTTTCTCTCTCATTCTGAGTCAAAGATATAGAGTTAACCCTTCCACATCACAGGGCTTAGAGGTGCAGCGCCCTTGCGATCTGGAAAATCCATGTAAAATTTTTTGGCCCTCCCTTTGTACCAGAGAAGAAGTCTGAATTATTAAATATGTTGATATTATACAACCATATATATACATATATGTACACACACATATATGTGTATATTATATTATATGTATATATATATATATATACACATATATATAATGCATTTCTCAGTTTCTAAACTTTTTCTGTATTGTCTGTTGGCCTTCATGTATTGTCTGAAGCTTCTGTAAAACTACCCAAAAATTCTCATTTAATTTCTTATGCCAACCTGTGATAGATGGAAACCTCGAAGGGGAAAGATGGTGGGAATGTTTCTCCTACAGAGAACCAAACCTTTTCCTAAGTATGAACCCGCAAAAGACATGCTGACTATACATAAGAAACACAAGCAACATTGACAGAAAAATGTGAACAAGCAGCAGTAACAACATAGTTGCTACTACACGTTCTCTAGTGAGGTTGATACTTAAAACATGATGATATGATACAGTTTGCAGACTTGCTGAATAGGTATTTCTCACTTTATTTCAGGTCTGAACTGTATAGACAATTACCTCCAGGTCTTCCTCCAAGCCAGGCCAGGGCTTGGGTAGGTCTATCTTACTGTGCATGGTCATTTTGTCCTGTAAGAAGTCCTGCAGTGTATGTAAGAGACACTTGTTTAGTTCAGCCAAGGACCCAGTCACTCCCAAGGTGGCCTGCAAGACTCAACAGGTCCACTTTAGGATTGCTGGTTTGTCACCCATGCTTAGAGAAAGAAACACATAGTAAAAAAGACTATGAGGGGTCCCAAAGCCTGCCAGACTCAATTCTCCTAAACTAACTGAGCTCCTGGTCTACTTACTTCATGGGACCAATCACCATGCTGCTGGTGTGGAGGACACTCCTCTCCTCATGGGAAGACTCAAGTTACTTGATGTCTGTCACCTGGAGAGTTAGAAGAAGACAGAGATAAAGGACAGAATCATTCCTGGCTTAGTAGGTAATCTGATCTGATAAAGTTTTGATGCCGAAATATCTCCCCCTCAACAACTGCTGTAGGGTGGAAGAACAAGGAACAACCCAGGGCTTACTGTGTCATTCCCAACTGAAAAGTCCTTTCTTTGTTAAGCCACATATTTCCCCAGAAGCATGCATGAACTCTGCAGGCTTATCCTCATGGATGCTCCATGGAGGTTCAACTCCCAATACCTATAGGAAAAGCACAGGACTAGATTCCATAGGGGAAACAACTTAGTTGATTAGACTATATTTTAAAACATTATGTTGGTAAAATCTGTGGGAGACAAACACAAGTTGTCCAAATGGATGAAATAATGCTTCTCTTCAAGATTCGAGATTACCAATATCTACTCCTTTGGGCAGAAAGATATTTGGCCAAACTAATTGTACCATTCTCTTGTACAAGTTCCTTCATTCATAAAATAAAGGGAATGAGCCATATGGTTTTTGGGGCATCTTCTGCCTGTAAGTCTTGTTATTCTATGCAATCTTCTGAAACTAGAAGGCAGCATAATCCCTATTGGGGTTATAAGAACAGTGATAGGTCTACAGATTGTGTGGAAAGGAGTGTATATCCTCTTCATTTAAGTACTACTCTCCATTCATTTTCTACCATCTAACACCAAGGCTCTATGCATTGGGCGTCATTTAGTCTGCACTCTGTGCCAAATTTCTTACCTTTGAAGGTAAAGTTCAGTTTATGTGCCCTGGGGTCCCATGGTCACTTGGGTTGGGATCCAGCTGGAAACAGTCACTAATAAAATTAATTTGTACTATGAGGGGTTTAATTGCCTTGGCTCCACAGCTGCTGTCAACATCAATCAGGAGGTAAAATTCACTTTTCTGGACATTTTATCCTTTGAGTTTCTCTATTGCATTTGTTTCTTGGGATGTGTCTTCCATGATCTCACTGGCTTCTCTGAGGAGTTGCATTTTCTATCTCTGCCTTTACATTTTCTCTCATGAAACTCTGCTTTTTTGTCTGCCTCAAGTGTGCGTGGGGTGATTCCTAGAACTGTTTCTATCACTGATGCTTTGCTGAATTAGTCATTTTCTGCTTGCAAGTGGAAACCATGGAAAATATGAATAAATGAGTGTCTAAATTTCCTGCATCCCATACTTCCTTCTTCTATATCAACTCCATGTATAATGGGGACAATGGAATCTTGTTTCCTTCTAAAACCAGCTAGAGCACCAACTAGTCTTTGAAAGTCTCGAGATTGTTTTTCTTGGTCTTTCTGAATTGGCAGAGAGAATCATCCGTGCTTAACACCTGAAACAGATGTTACTAGGAGCTTTAACAACAGCTATCACTTAGAAGCAGGGTGATGTTGCACAAAGTATGTTGGAATGGGAGTTGGAGCTGGAGATAGAAAACTTAGATTTGAATCTCCTCACTACATATTACCTAGTCAATTCATTCAATTTCTCAGCTTTAACTTCCGTATCAATTAAATAGGAATAATCAAACTACTTACCTCATAGGTTTGTTGTCAGGAAAATGTCATGTGACTTATGGTTATCTGGCTAGGGAGCAATTTTGACAAAGAGGAACAACCATAACTTTATTTAAATATAAGTGTAATAGAGGTGTGTGTTGGGAGCAGGGGTTGTTTGGCTGTTGTTGTCGTTGTTGTTGTTCAGTAATGTCCGACTCTTTGTGATCCTGTACCATTTGGGGTTTTCTTGGCAAAGACATTGGAGTGGTTTTGCCATTTCCTTCTCCAGGTCATTTTTTCAGATGAGGAAACTGAGGCAAACAAGGTTAAGTGACTTGCCCAGGGTCACACAGCTAGTAAGTGTCTGAAGCCAGATTTGAACTTGTGAAGATGAATTTTTCTGATTCCAGGCCCACCATACTGTGCCATCTAGTTGCCCAGCTGTTTGGTATCAGGCTAGATACAGAGCTGTATCTACACCTGAAGTCAATCACATCCTTGCTCTCCAGGCTTGTTTCCTTGCTTGTGGCTGGGTTCATAGATAGTCTAGTGGATATATTCTGTAGCATATTAGAAATTATCCCAAGTACAAAAGTCTCTTTAGCTTGATCCTTCATTTTTCCCATGAGCTCTCTTCAGTCTCGACCACCTTAATCACAGGATTTGATAATTCATTGTCAATGGCCATGTATCAAAAAGCATAGAAAACATAAATAATGGCAAGCTGGGGTTATTTTCTTCCTCCCTTCCCCCCTCTTCTCCCAGAGGGGCAATGGAAAAGAATGTGATTGGGAAGGTGAAGGAAAAAGGAGCTTCTCCCAACACAATGCACTGGGCAAACAGGATCAGAAGAAGGCTATGGACTGGACTGTTACTGTTAAAGCTGCTAGCTCAGCCTAATCTGATTTTCTGTGTCTCTGATGGGTTTGTTGGCTCTCTGGATGATTCCAGACTGTTCCTGGGTCAGTTAGCACCTCTTATCTTCTTCTAGTCTCGCTGCCTTTATTTTCCCTTGTGTTGTTCAGTTGTTTCAGTCATGTTCAACTCTTTGTGACCCCATTTGGGGTTCTCTTGGCAAAGATACTAGAGTGGTTTGCCATTTCCTTCTCTGGCTCATTTTAGAGATGAGGAAACTGAGACAAACAGGGTTAAATGACTTGCCTAGGGTCACACAGTTAGTAAGTGTGTGAGGCTGAATTTGAACTCAGGTCTTCCTGATTCCAGACCTGGTGCTCTATCCGCTGTGCCCCCTAGCTGTCCTTGTTTTTATTTTATTTTCCCCTACCCACAGCCAATGGAGAATCATCTCCTTACTCTTTGTTTCTTGCCACATGGCAGGACAAGCATGGAGAGTCCTGAAGCAACTTGCTTTCCTCCTTCTTTAACAGGTCTTCACCTAATTGTTCTCCCACCAAAAAAGGCCTGAGAAGTAGTCTCTTCAAGGCTAAAGAACTAGAACTTGAGACTCTAAGAAAATCTCGATCTTCAAACATTCCAATTCATCAAGTCTTTGCACCCTTTTGGTCCTCCAAAGCTTGTATGCCCTTTGGTGTTCCAGAGTTCCCTATGATCCTGTGAAGTCCTTCCTGGGTCTTGGAAAACACAGGCTAAATAAGCAAGAGAAATGTTTAGTTCTTAATTCAAGTGTTAATTCTTTCGGGTTCTGGTGGCTTTGCATTGTACCCAAGACAGATTGTAGAAAGTTCTCGGGTGACCTTGACAAAAGGCAGGTAACATCAGCAAGTCATGACCCTTAAAACACCCAAGGACATACCAAAAACACATATCAATATTTCTACTTAGGTATTAGAATAATGTTTCAAATTTAACTTGGAAAAATCCCGAGGTCTTTGCCTTAACTGTGTCAGGTCCCATACCTACTTTTACTTGAATTAAAGGGCAGGTCTGAAGACTGGCAGCTCTACTGGGAGGATGTTATGATGAAATGGAATACCCAGGGTTCAATGCTGACTTCAGACTGCCTAGGGCCTTGGAAATTGTTGAATCAGAGGATTTAGAGCTGCAAGAGACCTTAGAGATTTCTAAGAATGAAGTTTTATGTTTCATTTTACAGAATGAAAGCAGTGAGAAGTTATGTGACTTACTCAAGATCACAAAGGCAAAGAAAGAGCTGAGTTAGAATTTGAATCCAGATCTTCTGACATCAGATCTAGTGTTCTTCCAGCTATACCAGGAATCCTCTGAGGTTGTCTTAGCCACTGTGAGAAACAAACATAAATGTTTCTGGCATTAAGCTTCTTACCCTGAGTCCTGAGTTTTTATCTCCTTGCCTATCTCTCTTCAAGTTTCAACTAAAATCTCACCTTCTATAGGGAGCCTTTCCTAATCCCTCTTAATTCTAGTGCCTTTCTCTTTTGATTATTTCCAATTTATTTTATATGTAGTTTGTTTGTACATAGTTATTTACATATTGTCTCCCCCATTAGACTGCTCCTCAAGGGAAAGGACTGTGTTTTACTTTTCTTTGTATCCCCAACTTAGCACAGTGCCTGACACATAGTAGTAGCTTCATAGATGCTTGTTGACTGACTGGGGTAAACAATTTCCATCACATAATGTCTCTTCACAGCAGACCTCACAAACAGGGGAGCAGTGTCATTAAATATGACTACTGACTCTTCATGGACCACTAAATTGATTGAGTGGGAAGGTGACCTTAGGGACCATCTACTCTAGCTTCTTCATTTTCCAGGTGAGGAAGTGGAGGCCTAGACAGGTAAGTTGAGGAAGGAATTATGATGTATTGGAAAAACTGCTGGATTTGGAGTCCTAGCTCTGTCACCAACCACCTATGTGACCTTTAGAAAGTCACATAAACTCTCATGACCCAAATTTTCTCATTTGTAAAATGACAGGGTTGTTGACCCCCTTGAAGGACCCTTCCAGCTCTGAGTCTATGATCCCATGGGGCCACATCTTTTAGGTTATATAGGTTAGTTAATATCAGTGCTGGTTTAAAAACTCGAGTCTCCCAATACCTAGCACAGTGTTCTTTTTACCACACCACATGGCCTCTCATTTTGACCATGGTGAGGGCCATTTCCCTACTAGATGAGTTCTTAAATTTTAAAATTAAGTTGATGGCATTACTGGCTCAAGATCAGCAAAATAAAACCCCCCTTTCAACAAGGAAATCAAACATGCCGAATGTGTCCTCCCCCAAAAGACTTATTTATGGCTTTCTTTTCAGAATTCTTTCCTTTGGTTTGGTTAAGACATGCATAGGGTTCTTTGAAGTGGGCTAGACATGTTTTTTGCATGTGTGTGCAGCTGTTTCACTCTGCAGAGTTGGTATAGAAAAACCACTTTTTTTTTCATATGAATTATAGTCATTGACATGGCGGGTTGTGTGTAGGAACTCAGACTCCTTGGTTGTTAGAGTTGGAAAGGCCTTGAGATACTATGAAGTCCAATCTCTTTTATTTGGCAGGTGAGGAAACTGAGGTCCAGAGCTGCTGAGAAGTGATTTACTCAAGGCTATGCTATATTGTATCAGTGTATGTATAAAGTGTTTGTATTATACACTTGTTATCAGAAGGCTGTCCAAAATAGGTGCTTCCATTTTCTTTCACTCTCTTCTTAACCTCCTACAATCCAGCTTTTCTGATCTCTTCATTCCATAGAAACTACTCTCTCCAAAGTTACCAATGGTCTTTTAATTGTCAAATCTAATGGCTTTTTCTCAGTCTTCATTCTTCTTGACTTCTCTGCAGCCTCTGATACTGTTGGTCACCCTCTTTTCTTTGATACTTTCTTCTCTTTAGGTTTTTTTGGGAGAACACTCTTTCCTGGTTCTCCTCCTACCAGATAGGTAGACCACTCCTCAGTCTCCTTTATTGTATCCTCATCCGGTAACTGTAGGTATCCCATACAGCTCTGTCTTGGGTCCTTTTCCCTTTTCCCTTTACACTATGTCACTTGGTGATCTTATCAATTCTCAAGGATTTAGTTATCATGTCTATATTGATGATTTTCAATCTACCTATCCTACCCTAATCTCACTACTGACTTCTAATCTTGCATCTCCAACTGTCTTTCAGACATCTCAACTCAGCATGTCCAAAACTGAACTCATTATCTTTCTACCAAACTTCCCCCCAGCTGCAAACATTCCCTATTACTGTAGAAAGCACCACCATCCTCCCCATGCCCTGGGCTTGCAACCTAGGTGTCATCCTTGATTCTTCATTATTTCCCACCCCCTTCCCCCATATCCAATCTGTCATGAAGGCCTGTAGATTTCTCCTTTGCAGCATCTCTTGAATACATTCCATTTACTGAATGAAATGGAAACTGCCACCACCCTGGGGCAGGCCCTTATGACTTCACATTTGGATTATGGCAACAACCTGCTGGTGGGTCTGCCTGCCTCAAGTCTCTCCCACTGCAATCCATCCTTTATTTTAGTCACCAAAGTGACTTTTCCAAAGTATAGTTCTGACAGTGTCACCCTCCTACTCAGTACACTCTAATAGTCCTATCACCTCCATGATCAAATATAAAATCCTCTATTTTGCATTCAATGTCCCTTCATAAACTCACCACTCTACCCTTCACCTCTACTCCCACTTTTCTAGTCTTCTTACATCTCACTCCCTGCCACATTCTCTTTGATACAGTAACACTGACCTCCTTGCTATCCCAGGAATAAGACATATCTTAGCTCTGGACATTTTCTCTTTCTGTCTCTCCATGCCTGGAATGTTCTCCCTCCTCATCTCTGACTCCTGGCTTTCCTGGTTTTCTTCAAGTCCCACCTAGAATCCTATATTCTATAGTGTGCCTTTCTCAACCTCTCTTAAGTCTAGTGCCTTCCCTCTGTTAATAATTTCCTATTTATACCATATATAGTTTGAGCATATTTGTTTACTTGCTGTCTCCCCTACTAGATTGTGAGCTCCTTGAGGGCAAGTACTGCCTTTTGCCTCTTTTCATATCCCCAGCACTTAGCATGATGCCTAGCACAGAGTAGGCACTTAATAAATGCCAATTGACTGACATCCCTTTTTCTTGTGTGTACATCTTACCTCTATATTAGATTGTAAGCCCCTTATAGGCTGAGTGTTGGTGTCATATTAGGCTCACAGAACTTTCGTATTTAAAAGATAGGTGATTTCATTGGTGTGACTCACCCCTCTATGATGCAGATTTCAACCTCTCTATTCCTTATTGGACAGTCATTCTGAAATACTATGGCCAACAATATTTATCACCCAGTGTCCAGTCTTCTGTTGATAAGACTCTCCAAACCTCAACTTTGCTTGTTTTGTCTTTGGATAACAGACAGGGTACTTTTGATTTTCATAGTCCGTCCAAAGTCAATGGGGTCTTTCTTGCTTGGGTGGATCTGCCAGAAAGGGCTTCAGTGATATTGCCTTCAAGAATCCAGGACCCCCTCCATATAAGAATGAATCAGAAACAGTCCTGTGGAGCTCCTAGAGAAACCTCAGATGATTAGAGATCAGTGACCACAACATAGGCCATCAGCCTTTTTAGGTTACTTTCGAAAAAAGTGTTTTTCAGTTCATCCCCAATTCAACTCAATTCAGTTCAAATCAACAAACATTTATTGACTACCTGTTACGGGCAAGGAACTATGCTTGTGGAGGTAGTATTAATAATATATAGTCCCTTTCCTCATGGAACTTATAATCTTAATAGTCCATTGAGATGCTATTTCTTTTAATTTTTATTTACATCTTTTGTTTTTATATTATTTTGATATCTGAATATAACCTTCCTCCCTCATCTACCCAATGAACCATCTCTTGTAATAAGAGATAAAAGAAAAAGGGAAAAAAAGTAACCCAGTAAAACAACAGATATACTTGAGTCAGCTTGTACTGGCTTATGAGCTGATTGTTAAATTTTCAGTGTAATCATTTACACTTTAGAAATTGGAAAATTCTACATACTAATCAGGGCTTGATTTATTGTTTTGTGGATTTTCTAGACAAGTAACAGGAAAAATGTTAATAGAACAGATTAAACTTAAAACTGTGTCTTGTGAACATTTCTCTCTGTCGGAGAGCTGTTGTTAAACATTTACCGGAACACCACTGAGTAAAACTAACTGAAAGCAACTATTACTTTCACATACGTGAATGGAAAGCAGTAGAAAAAAAAGAGTGTTTGTATAAGGAAAAATGATAGAACACACTTGTAAAACAACATGATCTTCCATATAAACTATGGAGGAGAAAAACAGTCCTGCCCCTCAGATGAAGGTACTGAGAAGACCTGTTTGAAGGCATAGACTGAGGTAAACATGACAACAGGGCATTGTGGTCCATTAACTCATTTGCATGTAACTGTTTTTAGAATTTTTAAGTTTTTGACAAACTTCTAAATCAAATAACAGTTTGGTGACTGGGAAAGTTATATAAGGACTGTTGGATTCATACCTGACAAAAATAGATTTCTTGACTTTTACCTCATAAGATAAAGATGAGTCACTGACCACCAGGAGGCTCTGATTTGAGGCACTGATGGACTGAGAAATCAGCAGGAGTCACCATAAATTAGGGAAAGAAGATATAGAAGGCTTCCGGCTGAGACAGCCGATCTTTTAGCTGCTTTTTGGGGGGGGGGGTGGAACTTGATGACTAGGAAATGCTGCTTTGCTGATTGGTTGAAGAAAGTCTGGAACTCCTCATGCTGGAAACTCATTGGCTGAGAACTGAATCCTGCGTCGGTGTGAAAGGCTATTGAGATTGTTGCATTCTCACTCTCTGGTTCCCTGCAGTCGGCGAGAAAGGAAACATCTCAGGGATGCCAGTGTTTTCTTCCACTGTTCTCAAGGTTGAGAGGGGGAAAGACGAGTTTTACATCTGTTTTGCTGGGGGCTCTAAGCCAGAAGAGGCTTAGGGATAATAAGGCAAAGTAAAATCCACTATTTCCAGAGCGGAGTGGGGCTTGGCAGTTCTTTGACTCAAGGGAACTAATTACTTGTCACTTAAGATTGTAACTTTGTTTCAGCACCCTTTTGCCAGTGGCTAGGAGCAAAATGTTAGCCACCGCTTCATCGGCTGGAGAGCAGAGAAGAGCGGCCTTCCCGACAGGAGAGTGATGAGGACTAAATAGGGAGCAGCTAGGAGAAAAGAGACAGCAAAGCTTGCAGTCTAGAGTTGTGAATTGCTTCCCTAAAATGCTGCTGCCCTGGGAAGGTGGGTTTCCCCATCTGTGTACCTCCAACTGGTTTTCTAAAAATATATGCCAATTTCCCCCATGGACGCTCCTATTTTAGTGGGATAAGGTGAGCCTCGTTTATGGATGAATTGGGATATTTGATTATTCCTGATTTTTCCTTCTGAATAGATGTTATGATTGTTCCTATTTTTGCTTGCTGTTGAATAAATGAGGCAGTTAGGCGGTACATTGAATGAAGCGCTGGGTCTGAAGACAGGAACACCTGAGTTCAAATGTGGTTTCAGACACTTAAGTAGCTGTGTGAGCCGGGGAAGGTTATTATTTTTTTCATAAATGTATTTTGTTTTAATTTATGGAATAAAACAAGCATTTCTATAACATAGTATAATAAAAAAGTTGATTGCGCATGAAACTGTACGTCTGTTATGTATTACTTGCTTATTCCTTTTTTGGTTTGTTTGTTTTTTTGCTGTGAGGCATTTGGGATTAAGTGACTTGCCAGGGTCACACAGCTAGTAAGTGTGAGGTGTCTGAGGCTTAATTTGAACTCAGGCCCTCCTGACTTCAGGGCCAGTTCCCTGACCTCTGAGCCATCTACTTTTAAATATATGAATATATAATAAATTAAATATGTAAATATATATAAAATATATAAATATATAATATATTAAATATGTGAATATATTAAATATATGAATATAATATATTAAATATATAATATTATAAATATATAAACATATAATAAAGTTATCATGTCAATTTCTTTTTTCTTTCCCTCACCCCTTTCCCCATGGCTACCATTAGACACAAATAGTTTATATATGTGTGTGTGTATGTAAAATTATTCTATACATCTTTTTTATCAATTATTTCTCCGGATGCAGATAGCCTCTTTCTTCATATGTCCTTCATAGTTAATTTGGGTATTTATAATAGTCAAAATGACTTATTTGGTTAAAGTCATTCTTGAAACAATATTGCTGCTACTGTATACAATGCTCTCTTGGTTCTGCTCATTCATTCTTCATTATCTCTTCTGTTTGCCTCAGTTTCCACAATTGTGAAATTGGGATAAGAACAGCACCTACTTTACAGTGTTGTTGTGAGGATCAAATGAGATAATATTTGTAAAGTGCTTAGCACAGTGCCTGGTACTTAATAGGTACTATAAAAATGCTTATTCCCTTTTCTTCCCCCTGTTCTTTCTTGGATTGCCAACATATTGGGGGGGGGAAATGGAGAGTTGAAAAACCACATTGCAAATGTAACAGCACTTTCCCTTTAGCACCAATCCAAAAATGTCAATGGAATTCTTGGGAAAGAAACACTATAATTATGCAATTATTATAATTATTAATTAAACTAATTATTACTTAATAATACCAATGGATCTAAGTCTCCAAGGAAGTTGTTTTAGAGGGCATTCTATGTTGGGTCAAACTTGAGACCTCAAAACAAGATCTCAGCATCATAGATTTAGAACTAGAAAGGACCTCAGAAATCATTGAATAAAGTGATTTATACATAGTCACACAGGGAGTAATAGAGTTTGGATTTGAACTTTTGTCCTCTGACTCCAAAACTGGTGCCACCTTCTGTTTTGTTGGGAAAGGTCAGTTGTAGAACTCATAGCATTGGGAGGATATGAATGATAAGGTACTTGAGGGGAATGGAGAGAGAGGATAGTATTCAAAAGAAGCTCAGAGAGTCACAGAATTTCAGAACTGAAATGTCCATTAGAGAGCCTTAAGGATTATCTATTAAGGCATAGATGAGTTGACAGTGGAGGGAATTTCTTTGTTGAGAAAGTATAAGTATAAGCCAGTAAAATACTCTAGAGCCAGGTCTCAATTAGTGCAAACAAAAAATTTCCAGTGAAGTGGTTTCATAATTCACATTCATACTGCATACTTCGACTGGGCTGGAACCAATGACTATATTTTATGTAATTATAACTGGTGTGAGTTTGAATACTTACAATCAATTCACATGATTAATTATTCACTCTATTAGGGACCTAGCTGCAATTCTTTCCAAAAAAGATTTTCAATGAGAAGCAAGGAGCTTCTGGTTAACCTTTAGCTAATTAAAAACTATGTTGAACTGGAAATACTATTGTCTCCAAGCTTTGTAGTTCATTTCTCACACAGAATCAATCACTTCTGCTAGTCTGCATCAGCTATTTGTAGTCTGGATACTTTACACAGTGAGTTAGGATAAGGACCCGGCAGCCAGCCATAGCTAAATCAGTAGTTATCTGGACCAACAAATCAGAAAGTTCTCACCTATCTGCCCAGATTTTATGACAAGTTTTATCACTTTTAATAGTAATATGTAATTTCATGTATCCCTTTTTTCAGGAGAAATTTATAGCTTGTGCTACCTAGATTCAAGTCCCACTCCAGATGCTACTAGTTGTGACTCTGGGAAAATCACTCAACGTCTCCTAGCCCCAGTTTCCTCTTCTGTAAAATTGTGATAATATCAACATTTATCTCATTTCTAATGTTTCTCTGGTTAGTGGTATACTTTTGTCAGGAGTGAATAAATCAACATATAGCAATAGGAATCAGACTACCCTAAGCAAATTTTCTCAAGATATTGACTTCATTGTATACAAATCCAGCAAAACAGATGCTGGTAAGCACAAGAGTAGCATGTGACTATACTTTATACTGTGTCTTTCCTGTAGGTCAGGCCAGGTCCAGAATGAAGAGTGGCTCTGGAGCCCCCAGGGAGAGTAAGGGAAGATAAGGAGGATCCACCTGTGCAGTATGTTTTCCCAACCTACAGAAAGTAACAGAAAAGTGATTTCTGATATTTGTTCTTTACTTGCTTTCATGGTGAGGAGAATGGGACTTAATATATTACTACGGATCATCATGTAATAGATTGTTTAAAAGCTATGGAAAACTCTCGCATCATAGACAAATGTTGAATGAATGAACTCACTAAGATGTTGCGTATAAATCTCTACTTCGTATTATTATTTCTGTAGCATTGCCTTAATATCTCCAAGGAGGTCAGGACACTAGAGATGTATGCTTATGGTTCTCACAGAAATATTCAAGGCACCTTCCTCCTCTTCCTCCCTCCCTCTCTCAGTTTGCCCTTCAAACTGGCAACTCTCAATTGCCCTCTAAACTTACCCCACCCACTTTTGGATGAAGGGCTTCCTGAGCCAAGGCTGTGTAGGCTAACTCTAGCCTAGTGGATCCTGTGCTCCAGAATCAATTTGGATTTTGGACCAAGGCCCACAGTCTTCAGTTTCCTCCCCTCCCCTTTTCCTTTCTCTCCCTAGAAAGTCAGTGCAGGTTCCAAGCCTGAAGTTTCTCCTGGTGTTGGGAGGCTTCTGCTTTTTTCTTAAAAGTTCATTTACCCTTGAAGTTGAAAACTTTAATTTGTTTTCTTGAACCAAAATGTGATAAAACTATTGATAAATGAATTGCTAAATGGTGTCTGCTATTGCTTGAGTGAAATTTCCTTAGATGACAATTGGGAAGAGCCAGGGAAAAGAGAATTTTTTTTCCCCAAAGAAATATTTGTGGCTGGGGTCTTGGAGTTAAAAGGACAGCATTATTATTTTATTTTTACAGCTTCCTAGGCCAGAGGGCCTTCGCCAGCTAAAGCAGATAGTGATGCAGTCTTTCTGGAGTCAGGAAGACCTGAGTTCAAATCCTACCTCAGACACTAGCTGTGTGACCCTGGGTGAATTACTTAAACCTGTTTGCCTCAGTTCCTCATCTGTAAAATGAACTGGAGAAGGAAATGGCAAACCACTCCAGTATCTTTGGGAAGAAAACCCTAAAGAGTAGGACATGACTGAAATAATGGAACTACTAGTTCAAAGAGGGTATATTTGGGATCAGTTTATCTGGGCAAATGAGTTAGCAACAGTGGCTGGACAGCTAACTGGCTAGGCACTGAGGTTAGTATCCACTGTTTTTCTGTCACCCAATTTGAAAGGAAAATCAATACCCCAGATCGGAGGGAAAGCTTCTGGAAAGTCACATCCCCAGCACCCGCTCTTCCCGCCAGCCAAAAGTGCTTTATACCTCAGCCTGCTTGCTCACCTGTACCAGAAGAGCAAGCTAGCACTGCTACTTTTCAAAGATGTCTTGGGAAAATTTGACTTTTAACAGAGAAAAGCCATGGATTTTGAGGTTGGGTAAATCTGCTAGAGATTGTAGTTGTAGTTGATGACTGTATTTGGGAGATTGAAAATAAAAAGGAGATATTGTTTTTGCTTGGCTGGTAAATTTATGCCCTTTTGACTAGAGGCTAGAATGTAGAAAAGGAAACTCACCTGTGTTTTCTATTGATATGGGCAATATGCCTGTGATCATATTTTAGCTAAAACAAATCAAGGTCAGATGTGGTAAATGCAAACTGTGGCCTTTCAGAAATGGGACAGCTGTGGTCACAGTTGGCCCTAGGCAAAATTGTGAAATAAGGAAGTCAGCCATCTCCAGCTCTGCTTGTGCCTAAGGCCCACTCTAGTTGGTTTCAGGTGGAGGTAGGAGGAAATTTCACTGATTGACCTTTATTTTCAGAAGTGGTTGTCTGCATGTGTTGTCATTAGCTCATTTTTGGTTGGCAGTGCTTCTAGGCTTTGTGGAGATCATAGTCTATGCATACAGTTTGGAAGAAGAAGGTATGGGTAACATTGGGACTCTCTAGAAACTTGATGCTCTGGTCCCTCTCCTTTTTTTAAAAAAATCATTCCACTGTCACACAATGCCTGTGCGTAGATGAATCACCCCATCTGCTCAAGAACATCCTTGACTAGAGGACTTCCCTCCTTCCAAAGAATCATTCACAGGTCCCAGCATGATGCCTTAGCAGATACTTAGCAAATAGTCAGTAATTTTGTTTTTTTTATCCTGAAGTGAGAAAAATTATCTATTTTAGTCCCTTTGCATTTTTTTCCCCATGAGAATTCTAGTTGTTGTTAATATACTACTAAAAAGCAGATGGTACACAAGTTACCAGATGTTTTTCCTATTAATCCAGACATACCCCACTTATCAATTTTATAATTTAAACTTGAATGCTGGATTCAAAAGGCTCTTGCTCCTAGGATGTACAATGGAAAAGAAAGATATTTGCCCTAACTCATCCACACCCAAACCAGGACTAAATGCAGGTTTGGGCAAATAAAATCTCTCTCTTTTTCTCATATTCCCAGTTACTGATCATCACCATAAACTTCCCTGCAATCCTTTTTCTTCCAAGGAGAGAGAAAGGGAAGAAAAAGAATGGGAGAGAGAGACAGAGAGATGAGGAGAGTGAAAAAGCAACTGCAAAAGAAGAGAGAGAGGGAAAGAAGAGATAGAGGAGCAGCTAGGTGGTGCAGTGAATAGAGCTCTGGCCTTGGAGTCAGGGGGACCTGAGTTCAAATATGACCTCAGACACTTGACACTTACTAGCTGTGTGACCCTGGGTAAGTCACTTAACCCCTATTACCTCAAAAAAAAAAGAAAAGAAAGAAGAGATAGAAAACATTTAGAATACAGTAAGAAAAATAAGGAGGACTTTGTTTTGATTCTTCTTTCACAACATGGCTAATGTGGAAATATGTTTAATATGATTGTACATGTATAGCCTGTATCAGATTACATGCAGTCTTAGGTAGGAGAGAGGGAAGGGAGGGGGAAAATTTGGAAGTCAAAATCTTATAGAAGTGAATATTGAAAACTAAAATTAATTAAATAATTAAAAAAAGAAAAATAGAGAGAAAAGAGGAGACAATGTGGTAAGGAGAGAAGGAATTAGAGAGCATGTTTCAGAGCAGTTTTTGCCCATTCAGAAAAAAAAATGATCAAGTAATTAAGCCTTCCTTTCTTCTTCACCTGGAATTTCTGAGTAGTAGTGGTATGGTAATTCACCCAATAAAAACAGATACTTATTTAGTTGACAAAGTACTTTGCACTTATTATCTCATTTGAGCCTCATAACATTGTGAGGTAGGTACTACAGTTATTAATAGCTATGCTTTATAGAACAGGAACTTCTGGCTCATTGAGGTTAAGTATCTTGCCCAAAGTCATGCAGAGAGGTAATGTCAGAGACAGGATATAAACTGTTTTTTCTGACTCCAAGTTCACCACAGTGTACCACACTGCTTCCCAATAGCTATGTGTCTTCTCATCATACAAATTACACACACACAGGCACACACATTTAGATTTAGATTTTTATGTTTATGAGGAACAGTGTGCCCCAGGTTTATGGGAGGAATAGTGTTGTTACTTTTCTCACTCTACTAATTATTTCATTGAATGCTTTTGCTTTGGAACTGACTGTGTCCCCTGGCTGACTAATAAAAGTAAATACATTGGTAGGGGTTCCCAGTGTCTCTAAGTGGTTTTAATGCAAACCCACAGAGTATATTCGACTTGGAGTAACTTTTCTAGATTTAGGTGTCTGATATGTAAGGATAATTTTCCAGATAGAAATTACTTACCTCAAACCCTAATCTGAAACTAATAATCGAACTATATCTAATTTCTAAATGGTGAACATTTCTGAGTTAAGGTAAAGAGACAGGAGCATGTCTGGAGGGAGAGAGTAGAAGGGTAGTTAACAGAAGTGCGTTCTCTCTACTCTGCCCCATTACCTTGGGTTCAAGAGCTTCACAGAGTCCTGGGGAGAGGGATAAAGGGAAAGAGATGAGAGATTTGCTATTGTCTTATTTTCCCCATAGTTTTTCTGAAAATCAAAGGATATCTCTGAGGATGGATGGCTACCAGGGGCTGATTAACAATTAGACTATAGGTAATTTCTTAAAGTTGAGGATGACATTTAATAAATTTATACTCTCTTTATCCTTTTGTCTCATGCCAGGCAGCAAAAATCATGCTTCCTAACTGCCCTTCTCTTCACAGTCCAGTATTTGGCATGTAATTGAAACTTAATAAATTGTTAATGGACAGTGGCTCCTCAAAATGGAATTGGAATCAGGAACTGAGGTAAGATATCTGAAAAAGCAATTATTTGAAAAGCAAGGATTTAGAACTTCTTTGTCAGATGTATTGGGCTTAGCATTTCCCTGAGCTGAAACTGCAGTATATAGAATTGTAGACAGGAACAATGACTGAGCCAAACAATATAACAGATTGCCAAGCTTCATGTTTGGGGGAACTCTTCAGGGAGATCCAAGTGCTGCCCAGATGCAGCCAAGAATTTAAGAGTGTTTGCAGTGATGGGGGCTTGGTATGCAGGGGGTGAATTTGCACCATGTTTTTCATCCATTTCCTAGGAAGGTTTTGTGTAATTGGATGAATCAGAATCCTCCCCCCCCCCCCCGGAAAAATAGGAATCATAAACTTCCAAGTTTTTTATGTCATTTTTTTTTCTTTTCCCAGGGGAGAAGATGGAAGCTTTCTTTCTTTTTACTTTGTGATGTGATCTGCTATGACAGCTGGTGGTACCCACTGTTAGAGCAACAGCTGGGAATGGTCATGTAATGTTTTCTGGGCCATGTAACCTAGGCCAGAAATCTGTGTCCATCAGCCATCAGTCACCTCCTTAGGAGACTACATGGGAAATGAGTTAAGTAGCCAGAGGATTCCCCCAGGCCCCAGATTTTGAAATTGAACTCTGCTTGCTTATATGAGCCTAGTGTCCATTTGCTGGATTTTATTAACCTCCACTTTACTTGATTTCACAAACCCCGTAGGTAATTGGGATATGTTCTCGTCCAATCAGAGTTTTCATTGCCTTTTCAAAATCAGCATCCCTCACATAATAAGAAATTGCAGAGCTTTCTCTCTCTCTCTCTCTCTCTCTCTCTCTCTCTCTCTCTCTCTCTCTGTCTCTGTCTCTCTGTCTCTCTGTCTCTCTCTCTCTCTCTCTCTCTCTCTGTCTTTCTCTCTCTTTCCATACATACATACATACATACATACATACATACATACATACATACACACATAATTCTGAACACAAACACCTAATAAAATGAGCATTTGTATCTCTGGCCTTACTCTCAAACTCCCTGTTAAGTTGGGTCCCCAGAGGGATGATGATTACTTTTGCTCTCAGGGTTATAGGAGTTGAATCTAAGGGGTTATGCCTTTTAATCCTATTGATCATGAGCTCCCATCCAGTGTATTCCTGTCAGTGTCAATTATAATTCTTCCACTTACTACAAATTGGCATTTTTTTAAAATAAAATTTTATTCATATCTTTTATTTTTATATTGCTTTAATCTCCCCCTGTATGCCTTCCAGAGAGCTATACCACATAACAAAGAATATTTTTAGAAGAAAAAGATTCAGAAATGGAAAAAAAAAAGATCAGTAAAAGTAATCAATATAGCAAAAACAACCCCACCCCTGAATACGTATGCAATGTTCCCCACCCATGGACCTCCCACTTTCATAAAGGAGCAGGGGAAATGTTTTCTATCTCTTCTTTGGGGCCAAGTTTGTTCTTTATAACTTCCTCTCATAAAGAGTGTAAAAATCCTCTCATGAGAGTCATTTTTGGTTGTTTTGTGGTAGTTCTTTTCATTTACATTGTTTTTGCGTGTGTGTGGGGGCAATCGGGGTTAAGTGACTTGCCCAGGGTCACACAGCTAATAAGTGTCAAGTGTCTGAGGCTAGATTTGAACTTGCTTCCCCTTTTCATTTACATTGTTGAAGTCATTGTGTATATTGTTTTTTGGTTGTGCTAACTTTGCATTACTTCATGTAAGTCTTCCCAGGCTTCTTGATAGTCATCAAGTACCAAAATTTGTTTAGCCATTAGCCAATCCATCTGCATAGACTTTGTTTTCAGCTCTTTGCTACCACAAAATGTGCTTCTATAAATACTTTGGTGTGTGTGGAAAACCACAACCTTGCTCAGCTAGGCTGTCTCCTTATAGGAAGCCATGTCCTGGCTGGTAGGTGAGTCAATCAAATTACTACTCAGGGGCGGTTTCTCACTGTATCAATTACTGGAGCTACTGGCTCTGGTGGTCTCTGCTACCAACTCTGGTTGCTGAGGGGACTTCCGATGGTCCATTTTGTTTCAGGACATTCTTTAATTCCTTCATTCAGTTGATAAGCATTTATTAAGGTGCAGTGGATAAAGAGCCAGGGCTAGAGTCAGGAAGACTCATCTTCCTGAGTCTAGTTCTGGCCTCAGTCACTTACTAGCTGTGTAACCCTGGGCAAGTCACTTGACCTCAGTTTCTTCATGTGTAAAATGAGGTGTAGAAGGAAACCCCTAATGAGGTCATAAAAAGTTGGCAGGACTGAAAGACTGAAAAACAAAAGTGCCTAGGCACACTTAGCACAGCCAAGCATTGTGCTGAGTCCTGGGGGTACAAAAACAAACAAAACAAAACAAAGGCAATCATTGCCCTTGAGGTACTTATGTTCTCATGAGGGAAGACAACACACAAAAAGGAGCTGAAAAGGGTGAAGAGGGAAAAATGGTACCCCTGTAGGGCATATGATGAGGTCCAGTCCAAAGGAGTACAGCTGGATGGGAAATGAAGAGATGTCTGACCTGGGAATCCTCTTTAAATGGAGGAAGAGTTCATAGAGTCCATTCTAAAGAAGTGCACCTAAGATCAGCAAAGAAGGAGAAAACAATAGAAATAAAGGTGGCCTGTGCTCAGGTCACAAGATGGTTGGGTGGGAGACAATGTAGTCTTCCTTGTCCTTACCCAGGGTATCACAGCAAACCTGTTCTTTCAGCTCTGGCCCATTCTGTCCTGCATCATCTGCCCTTTCAGCTCCTCAGTCAGTTAGAAACCTCTTCATCACTCCTCCGTACCAGTCACTCATGGCCAACTTCCACATGTTGGATTGAAAACAGGCAGGGTATATTGTTCATGTTCTTTAGAACCAACCAAAAAAAAATCTTTACATACTCTGAGAACTTGGCCCTCATTAGACACATACAAAATAGAAAAGAAAAATAAAATCTTATATGAAGCCATGAATTTCTATTACATATAATTTGCTTTTCCTTCTAAGTACATAATAAATTCAATATAACTTTCTTTTTAAATAAATGTTTTGTGTCTTCTGTTTTTTATATCATCATAAGTCTTCCCAGCTTCCCCTGCCTCCCCCTCTCAGAGAGCCATCCCATATAACAAATAGTATTTTCTAAGACACATAAAAAGAGTGAAAAAAATCCATCAAACTGATCGATACATTAAAAAAGTCTGATAATATGTGCAATATATAATACCTGTAGACCTCCCACCTCCATAAAAGGGTAGATTGGGTGTATTCTCTCATATCTTTTCATTCAAGTCATGGTCGATCTTTATAATTTTGTTATATTCAATTTTGATTTTTGTGTGTGGTTTTCGTTCTTTACATTTACATTGTTGTGTATATTGCTTTCTTGGCTCTGCTTACTTCACTCTGCATCAGTTCATTTAGGTCTTTCCATGCTTCTCTGTATTCATCTCATACATTATTTCTTACAGCACATTAATATTCCATTACATTCATGTTTCACAATTTGTTTAGCTATTCATCAATGGGCACCTACTTTGTTTCTAATTTTTTTCTACCATAAAAGGTGCTGCTATAAATATTTTGGTATATATGGGATTTTCTTTTTATCAATGGCTTGCTTGGTTTATAAACCCAGTAATGGAGTCACTGGTTCAAAAGTTATAAATATTGTAGTCACTTTATTTTGACAATTCCAAATTGCTTTCTAAGATGGTTGTACCATTTCACAGCTCTGCCAGTAATGTACCTTATTCAACATTGACTGTCACCATCTTTTGGTCACCTTCTCCAATTGGCAGAGTGTGAGATAAAACTTCAGGATTTGATTTGCATTTCTCTTACTATTAGTGATTTGGAGCAGTCCTTCACCTGGGGAAGACCTTAACTTAAAAAGGCCAAGGTCTTCATCTGGGCCAGTCATCTTGACTTAAGACTTGCCACTGGACTCCAGTGACTGGAGGAGAGAGTGGGGCTGATGATTTTGCTCTGTTACTAGACGCAGAAGGAGATGTATAAGATAGGATCTCTTCCCTAAAGGCAAGTCTAGTAGAGGAAATGAATGGCCCATCATGCCAGCCAGTCAAGATCTTTTTAGGTCTTGACTCTCTAGTCCAGCATTGGAGTGATCTCTCCCAGTTTTATGTGTGCATTTTTAAGAAGCAAGAATGCTGTTTTTGTGTATTGCATCCTGATCCAGAAATCCAAACCCTATTCTCTGACACCATCTTCCTTACCAACTAACTTAACTAACTGGTCACTTCCCAAACCTGACTTTTTCTTTTGAAACCCTTCAATTCAATCAGCAGCGGGAGTAAGAACATTCCTTCCCCCTGCTCCCCACCAAGAAAGCCCGTTTCCTGCCCAGGACTTCCTAAACCCAGACATAGTCTCTAGGTCCTTTTCTTACTACATGAATCATGATGAGTGGGTATTAGTTGTCTTATTCAACAAGTCTCAAGAGATTCTACCTTGCCTGACCTTGATTTCTGAGCCTGACCATTACTGTTCAAATCACTTATACACTGGTGAATGACTCACAAACCAGGGACACCTAGAAGCTCTAGGACTTCGTTATTTTTTTCATCCCTCCCACTTCTCTTCAGAGTTGGTGATGGGCATGGAACTGTATGAATTTTCCAGTGGGAGGCTGAGTTCTTTCAATCCATGCAATGCAGAAGGTTTGCTTCCAGGTTGCTTCAACTGTAAAAATACAACATGAAATGCAAAAGAAGAGGTGATTTTTCCAAGAAAGCCTCTCTCCTTTAATTTCTCTACAATGATAGACTTTTCATCAGAAGGGGGCATAGAGATCACCTTTCTTTTATAGATGAGGACACAGACCTAGAGACCTATCCAAGACACACTCCCCCAGTGACCTAGGCCTAGGACTCAGGCCTATTAAAGGACACTTCTAGTTACTCAACTTCCTTCTGTCTAAAATTTAAATGAATGCTTACTGGCTCTCTTGCTCCCTAAAGTATTGAGATTCATCTTCCATAAGCTTTTCAAGGTTTAAAGACTAGAAGAAAACAAAAATGAAAACAATCTCATTAGACTGTATTTATTTGGTCTGGATATTTTTTTTAGGGGAGAGGGCAGGATATTAAGTAGATAGTGCAGTGAAGTGGAGTGTGAGTTAACCTTTGGGTTAGAAGACCTGGGTTCACATCCTGCCCCTGACACATAATGGCTGTGTGACCCCAGGAAAGTCACAGCCTCTCAACCGAAAAGCTGCTGAAAATTGGTCATCTTCTTTTGTGGAAGAAGTTTGTACGCTAGGAGCAACTCATACCAATGAAATCGCAGCTATGAAACCAAATGTAGGAAATTATATGTCAGTTTTCTTTGTTTCAGTAGATTCAAACCGCACCCTCCTTACTTGGCATTTACTCTGTATATGTTTTGTACTTATCTATCTATCTATCTATCTATCTATCTATCTATCTATCTATCTATCTATCTATCTATATGTGTGTATCTCCCTCTGTTTATACATATATGTGTATATGTGTGTGCATATATACATACATATACACATACATATGCATGCACACAAACATATACACACATCTAATTTTTTTTCCCTCTAGTAAAATGTAATCTCCTCAAGGGGGGGGTTGTATTCCTAGTGCCTAGTACAGTGCCTGGCACATAATAGCTGCTTAATAAATGCATGTTGAATTGAATTTAACTTTTTTGGTGGCGGTGGGGGGGAGGATGGAGTGGGGAAAGGAGTCTTTGAAAATGGAAAGAAGGGGGAAGGGTGTTCAGATGAGGACTATCCACTAAACTAATTTTAGAAGTCTGCTTTTGCTATCTGAGTTCCACGAACTCAGCCAAAAATTCAAAGTCCAAAATGG